AGTTGTCACTTATCACCAGACCAACAGTCCAGTCTATGCATCATTCCTGGTCTACATCATCGCTCGTGGTCTACACCATCATCCTTGGTCTATTTCACCATGCCCTCCAGAGGACATCATGGATGCCAACTGGAATAATTTTATTATATTTGTTTCTCTTTTTGTGAAGTTATACTTTGGACTTTGTGGAATACCCTGAACTTCCTGTTTCGTTCTTGGAACTATCAACTGTGACTCTTTGGAATACTCCTAAAGCAAGGACACTGTTAATTGTGATTCACCAACGAGGTACCCAAATTGTAAATCACAAGTGGGGGAATGTAGTGTCCCACGTCCCTCAGAGAAGTCCACATCCTGTCCTCAGAGACAGTAACCGTCTCTTCCACCCCCTCTCTGTGTGCCAATCTGTGAGTCAGGGTGACTCCATTCTGATCCTGGACTCAGAGACAACTGACTGTATGGTAATTAACCCTTTATGCTAATCAACTCTCATTCCTGAGAAGACAGACTTTAGTCTCCTAGAGAAGTTGATATCTACAGTAGAACAGAACTCAATTGTAGCCTCAGGATAAAGGGAGGTGTAGTTTCCATGACAACCAGGAAGTTAGCCAACTACACAGAGCTTCAAACCGAACTCCTATGTTGTGTAATACTGTTGTGTGAGAAACCAAACTTGCATCTGTGAAGAAAATGGTTAAAAACCCCCCCAAAAAAACAAGGTGTTATCATGCTATTGTTTTGCTTCAAAGTTTTGAGAGGTGGGGCTATGTAATCAAAATTAATTAATGTAGCTTGTGTTTACACCCACTGTTCGTAAGCTGCATGGATTGGATAAAACTGAATAGGCACCGCCCCTTTCTAGTATCATGCAATGCTGACACGGAAGGAAGGGTCTCAAGTTGTCTCAAGTTGTCAGAAGTATGGGATGTCATTGGCTGAGAGTTGGCTCCGAGCCAGCCCCAGGAGTCAGCGGGGCTCCGATCCAGTTCTTCCTCAGATGGAGCTCAGCCAGCTGAAATGGAGAAAAGTCCACGAAACTCCCTCAAACACCCCAGAATGATGCAAGCACGGCTTGGCTGAACGGAACGCGGTCCTGAAGAGGGACAGCGTGAACCACAGGTTCCTTTCATATCATATCCATAATGGGTAATGAGGTGATGGACAGCTCTCCGGTAGGACAAACATCTTTCTTCTGATGGAAAGGAATGTCTCAGCGCCAACAAGGTTTTCTAGACTTTGTTTACAGTACGAATCTGAGATACAGTATAGTTTAACTAAAATATAGTTTACCTAAATTTAATGTTAGTCCAAAATTGAATAACATCTCCTCAGTTTTATGCTATTTTATATTATTTACCCATCTGAAATAACACTTATCTGGTTATTCATTCATATTCAATATTTGCCATATTGTCAATACTCAAACTGAAAATAAACATTACAGAATTGTGATTTTAACTGATTGAATTTTGTGTCTTTTTGAGTGAGAGGAATCGCAACATTACGAAGAACTCACTATAACTTTAATCAAGGTCGATTCACTCGAACATTCAGGGTAAATAATACCTGTTAAAATGTATTGCTGGTTCTGACTAAATACGTATTCCCCTACTGACGTTTGAATAGAACTGTTGAGCAAAATGAAAACAGCACTCATTTTAAGACCCTTCAGACAGAAAAAAACTGTAAAAAACAACTTTATTTTGAAATAATGTAAAAACGGCTTTTGTTGTATTTACATCTTTTGTCCCCGACATTTGAGACAAACTAATTCAGAGAAAAGGGTTTAACAATAAAATGTATTACAACGGTTAAAAGAAGTTACGTGAACAGCTTAAACTCGCAAATAAAGTATGGAAAACAGAAAACACACACACACCCATACACACACACAATTTCTCAGAAGAAACAGCACATGCACTGAAACACATCCGGTGCCATGCTGCTTCAGAACAGAAGACAGAAGGTGAAGATGGGAGCAGTTGGTTAGACAGGCTGTAGTTTCTCACTCTGTCAGTAGATGGCAGTGCCAGCACTGTAGCATCACTCGTCAACAATAATATAAAACTTTGTTCTTTTTACACAGGAAGAAAATGCACGGGTGGGAAAAAAAACCTAAAAATCGTGGTTTCGTGTAACATCAAATTTCATGTTTCAATATTTAAATTTGTGTTTTGTTACTACACCTGCAAACTAACACACACTGAGGCTTGCTCTGTGGACTTCATGGTACCTTGAAAAAGTATTCACACTCCTAGAAACTTCACATTTTGTCACATTTTTATAGTATCTTATCTGGATTGTATGTGATAAAGCAACACAAAGTAGCACATAGTTGTAAAGCAGAAGGAAAATTATATATGCCTTCATTTTTTTCATAATCTCAAAAGTGTGGCGTACATTTGTAATCAGCCCCATTCACTCTGATGCTTCTTTGATATGCCTTCAGAAGTCAACTGATTAGAAAATAGTCCATGTGTGTCTGGGTAAATCCATCTGTTCCTGAAGCTTCAGATGTTTGTTAAAAAAGGATTAGGGTATAAAACATCTCACAGAACTCTGTTTAACCCACTATCTGAAAATGAAAGAGTCTGGCACAATTAAAAACCTAATATGACAGGTCAGACGAGGAGAGCGTTAATCTGAGAAGCAGCCAATAAGCCCCCAGGGTATTTCTGGAGGAGCTGCAGTGCAGAGATCGACAGCTCAGGTGGGGGCAATCTGTCCACAGAACTTAGTCCTGAACTCTGCAAATCTAGCTTTTAAGGAAGAGTGGCAAGAAGACAAGTCACTGCAGAATTTGCAAGTGGACAAGTTCTGTTGGAGGCACAGTAAACACATGGAACAAGGTGCTCCGAAACTATGTCACCCTGAACACACCATCCCAACTGAGAAATATTTTATTTAACCTTTATTTAACCAGGCAAATCCCATTGAGATCACAGATCTCTTTTGCAAGGGATTCCTGGGCCTGAAGGCAATCTAACATGCATGTTTTTCTAGAGCTAAACCCACCTGAGAATCTGTTACAAGACTTGGAAACTATCGTTCTGGCCTTCTCCATCCTGACTGGGCTAAAGGAACAGGCTCAAAGTTTAGTCTCTAGATGTGGGAAGCTGGTAGAAACAAACCAAGACTTGAAGCTGGTGTTACAACAGAAGGTGGTTCTACAAACATCAAAGTTCATGCTCAATAATCCAGGTAAAAAAATCCAGCAGAACTCAGTCAGGTCCTCTGGATGGTTTATTTTTTTGTTGAGACGTTTCATCCTTCATCCAAAGGACTTAATCAGCCCGAGGAGCCACTGGATTATTGAGCATGAACTTTGATGATTTGAACCACTTGAGCTATGGCTGCTCAGAGGAGTCGACGGGGGAGATGGCCGACCTCAGAAACCATCTTATGTGAGTGTGCTGCTTGTGGGGCTGAGTTTGTTGTGGCTCCTCGGTCTGATGACATCCTTTGAATGAAGGACGAAACGTCTCAACAAAAAAAAGAAACTGCCCAGATGACCTGACTGAACTTTGGTGGCTCTACAAAGTTTGGACACGGGAAGGCTGCATGCCACACTTCAGATTTTAATTGTAGAAAAAGAAAATTGAAAACTGGAACACTTTCTTAAAATGCCAGTTATGAAGTACTTTGGAACCTTCAGAACTTTCTTTACTTTGTGTTGGTTTGTCACATACTCAAATACTTTGAAGTGTGTGGTTGACACATGATAATATTGGTTTAAGGGGTATGAACACTTGCTCAAGTCACCGGGTGTATCAACACAGGGCAGATTTAGTCACATCATACAAGTGAGCTTTTAAATCTTTCTTTGTAAATCCAGAAAAGATTTCCTTCATCTTGACAATCCGTACCTGCACCCATGTCGCCTAGACATGTTACTTTTTTTGGTCAGTCAGTTCCATAAAAAACAACTCATTTCAATAGATGCAGTCTGCATTAGGCAAAGCTTCATCACTGTCCTGAACGAGGGGTCAGTGAATGGCACACGAACCACTGCAGCCCAGATCTGAACCCAGAGCAGCGAGCAGCAGCAGAGCTGAACAAAACGCTTTAATAACAACTTGAAACGCACGGATCTCAGTCATTTAGCTAAAACATGACACAAACCACGTGTGCACGCGTGTTTTCTGAGGGTCGTTTTGGCAAAAGTATAAATAATAACAGCTATAATCCATTTCAATAATTATGTCAATAAATAAAACGACCTTTGAACTTACCCACATTACAAGAACACATCTATAATAACTGCTTAAATAGAAAATAAAATCATTTCTACAAAGTTTGCGTGTTGTAACACTGAACGCATAAAATCCCAAAGGAGTGAAAACAATACTGCTGCAACTAGACTTTACAAAAGCTAAAACTATTTTCAACCACTTAAGGAACAAAGATGTTTCAGAAAAAAAGTGAACTCTAAACCAGGGGTTCCCAACCCTAGTCCTTGAGGAACGCCAGCCTGCATGTTTGAGTTGTTTCCCTGCTCCAACACACCTGATTCAAGCAGAACTTGAGGAAGTAATTAAATCAGTGAATCAGTCAGACCTGACTGAAAAATGTTGGATTGTATACCTGGATTATTGAGCATGGACTTTGTTGATGCAGGATGGTGTTCCTCAAGGACCAGGGTTGGGAACCACTGCTCTAAAAGATGAAGAGGTAAAACTGTTAATAGTAAGAATTGTTAATAATTAGCAATATTCTTCAATAATCAGTCAGGAAATTAGACTCAAACTGATGTTTCTGCCATAAAAAGCTGAAACATGTTGAATCCTACATGTGGCGGGGTTATTAGTGCATCAGAGAGGCACAGTATGAGTGACATCGTTAATGCCACTCCATCAAACCAGTGTATATCCTCGTCTCCAGTGGGGGGTTCCTGATGATCAGACTGGAGCTGAGTGGCACCCAGCTGGAGCGTTTGACGCCTTGTTTTTGGCTGCACGTCGCTTTTCAACATCTGAGAATGTGCAAAAGTTTCTGCCTCGTGGTGTTAAATGTCTGCGATAAAGTTGATGGAATCCAACCTCAGAACTTCAGCTTTGTTCTCTTTAGAAAACGAGTCATCAAATCACCCATCAGTCCAGCTTCACATTCCCCTTTTTGTGTTTTTATTTGAACAACTACTGGCTTTTGAATGCGTGGCTGCTGAGCCACAAAGAGCTCCATCAGTCCGCCAACAGCGTTTTGTGCTTTTCGATGTGACGTGCACTTTGTGTCCACATCGGCTGCAGCCTTCAGGGCGTGTCCGTGTGTTTGTAGTAGCCCTTCCTGAGCGCTGCCGACGCGATGCACTCAGCCGAGCGGCGCTGGTCCATGCTAAGCAGAGCCTCCAGCAGGTCGTTGATGTCGGCCTTCAGCCCCTGCCTCTGCATCCAGTTCTTCAGCAGTTCGTACACTTTGTCAGCAGCGGCGCCGTTCTCTGCGATCCGAATGTGGTTGTCGCTGACGCCGATCAGTCGGAAGAACTTGTTGTGGATCCGCACGTCCAAGTACTCGTCGAATAAGTCGAAGCACTTCCTCAACGACTTCTCAGAGCCTTAAAAACAAGAAACATTCAGTCAATGGCTGTTTAAGTTGGCCAATAAATCAGAAGCATTATTGAAGACAAAAATGTTTTTGCCAGTCTGTATGCATGTGGGTTTGTCTGTTAGCAAAATATATCCTGACCCATTGGAAAGATTTTAATAAAAACGCTCAGAATGTAATCACTGGATATTCATCTAAAACGGATTTAACAGTCAAGTGCTAAAAGATCTAATAGATCACAGGACCTCACCAAGGACAGAAATTCCAGCTCATTATTGGGTGTCAGCAAAGTAAAAGTTTTTCAAAAAGGGATTTTTGAGGTGTCCCCTACGATACAGTCAAATGTACAAATGAAAATTAAACATTCATTATCATGTCTGCCAGGTAGACCAGTTTCAGAAACTAACAGGAGCACTGCACTAACGTTTCTCCATCCACTCCAACGCTAATTTAAATTTAATTCAGTTCAGGTTATTTATATAGCACCAAGTGACAACAGAAGTCATCTCAGGGCACTGAACAGAAACATTCATATTTAAAAATAATAATTTAACATTATTTATCTGAGGAACAGACTGCTTTGAGTTTAACTCCATGACAAAACTCTCATCTTGAGCATGAAGGCGACAGTGGAAAGGAAAAACTCCCTCATGAGGAAGAAACCTTTAGCAGAACCAGGCTCAGGACAAGCGGCCATCTGCTTCGACCAGATGGGTTTGAGAGGAACAGATACACAATGGCAGGTCAAGAATCATGTTAAGATAGAAATAGTTTCAAATAAACTATTCAATTTTAAAAATTAATTTAAGGAAATTAGTAATCTAAGCCTACAGCAGTTTAACAAACAACCCTAACTATAGGATTTATCAAAAAGGAAAGTCTTGAGCCCAGTCTTAAAATTGGACAATGTGTCAGCCTCATAGACAGAAACTCGAAGTTGTTCCACAAGAGAGGAGCCAGATAACTGAAAGATCTTCCTCCCATTCTGCTTTTGGAAACTCTAGGAACTGCGAGTGAACCTGCAGTCTGAGAGTGAAGTGCTCTGTTAGGAAAATATGGAACAATAAGATCTGTAATAAAAGATGGAGCTAGGTTGTTGAGAGCTTTGTAGGTTACAAGTACAAACCGGATTCAAAAAAAGTTGGGACACTAAACAAATTGTGAATAAAAAGTGAATGCAATGATGTGGAGGTGCCAACATCTAATATTTTATTCAGAATAGAACACAAATCACAGATCAAAAGTTTAAACTGAGAGAATGTATCATTTTAAGGGAAAAATCTGTTGTTTCCAAATTTCATGGCGTCAACAAATCCCAAAAAAGTTGGGACAAGTCCATTTTTACCACTGTGTGACATCCCCCCTTCTTCTTACAGCACTCAACAAATGTCTGGGGACAGAGGAGACCAGTTTCTCAAGTTTAGAAATAGGAATGCTCTCCCATTCATGTCTAATACAGGCCTCTAACTGTTCAATCGTCTTGGGCCTTCTTTGTTGCACCTTCCTCTTTATGATGCACCAAATGTTCTCTATAGGTGAAAGCTCTGGACTGCAGGCTGGCCATTTCAGTACCCGGATCCTTCTCCTACGTAGCCATGATGTTGTGATTGCTGCAGAATGTGGTCTGGCATTATCGTGTTGAAAAATGCAGGGTCTTCCCTGAAAGAGATGACGTCTAGATGGGAGCATATGTTGTTCTAGAACCTGAACATAGTTCTCTGCATTAATGGTGCCTTTCCAGACATGCAAGCTGCCCATGCCACAAGCGCTCATGCAACCCCATACCATCAGTGATGCAGGCTTCTGAAGGGAGCGTTGATAACAACTTGGGCTATCCTTGTCCTCTCTGGTCCGGATGACATGGCGTCCCAGTGTTCCATAAAGAACTTCAAATCGTGACTCATCTGACCACAGAACAGTCTTCCATTTTGCCACACTCCATTTTAAATGACCCCTGGCCCAGTGCAAACGTCTGAGCTTGTGGAGCTTGCTTAGAAATGGCTTCCTCTTTGCACTGTAGAGTTTCAGCTGGCAACGGCGGATGGCACGGTGGATTGTGTTCACTGACAATGCTTTCTGGAAGTATTCCTGAGCCCATTCTGTTATTTCCTTGACAGTGGCATTCCTGTTTGAGGTGCAGTGACGTTTAAGGGCCCGGAGATCACGAGCGTCCAGTAGAGTTTTACGGCCTTGACCCTTACGCACAGCGATTGTTCCAGATTCTCTGAATCTTTTGATGATGTTATGCACGGTTGATGATGATACTTAAAAGTCTTTGCTATTTTACGCTGGGTAACACCATTCTGGTATTGCTGCACTATCTTTCTGCGCGACAATGGTGGAATTGGTGATCCTCTTACCATCTTGGCATCTGAGAGACACTGACACTCTGAGAAGCTCTTTTTATACCCAATCATGTTGTCAATTGGCCTAATTAGTGTTACTTGGTCATCCAGCTGTTCGTTATATGCTCAATTTCCTTTTTCCAGCCACTTATTGCTACTTGTCCCAACTTTTTTGGGATTTGTTGACACTGTGAAATTTTGAATCGACATACTTTTCCTTTAAAATGTTACATTTACTCAGATTAAACTTTTGATCTGTCATCTATGTTATTTTACGAATAAAATATTGACATTTGCCATCTCCACATCAGTGCATTCAGTTTTTATTCACAATTTGTTTAGTGTCCCAACTTTTTTGGAATCCGGTTTGTAAGATTTTGAATTCTATTCTGGATTTGACAGGGAGCCAATGGAGATAAACTAAAACTGGAGAGATATGATCTCTCCCACTAACTCCAGTTAAGAAACTGGCAGCAGCATTTTGGATCAACTGAAGATGTTTTAAAGAAGTATTTGGACATCCAGATAATAAACCAAGGCGGCATGGTGGCGCATTTGGTAGAGCTGCTGCCACTCAGCGAGCAGGTCCCTGGTTCAAATCCTGGTCTGGGGTCCTTTCTGGGTGGAGTTTACATGTTCTCTCCGTGCATGCGTGGGTTTTCTCTGGGTACTCCGATTTCCTCCCACAGACGAAAAACATGCATGTTAGACTGATTGGTAACTCTAAACTGTCCACAGGTGTGAGTGACAGAGTGAATGGTTGTTTGTCTCCATGTGTCCCTGTGATGGACTGGAGACCTGTCCAGGTTGTCCACGCCCCTCGCACAGTGATTGCTGGACATGAGCACCGGCGACCCCCGTGACCCAAAATGGAAGAAGCGGGTAAAAGATAATGGATGGATAACAAACCATTGCAATAGTCCAGTCTAGATGTGACAAATGCATGGACCAGTTTTTCTGCATCATTTTTATATAAGATGTTTCTAATTTTAGTGATGTTACGCAGGTGGAAGAAGGCTGTTCTAGTGATATTTTTAATGTGGGTGATAAAATACATGTCCTGATCAAAAATAACAATAATAATAATAATTTAAATTAAATTCACTTCCTGGTCACACGGTCATGTGATTTATAACAACAGGTTATTCTTTTTTACAATAATATAAAGTAGTCGTCGTTTTGAAGGTTTTAGTTGTTTTGACTGTCCTGTGGTTTGGCATCATTTCAGTGTGCTGTTTTTGTTTCTGGTTATCTGCCACTTTGATTGAAACAAATGGAAATGTGTTTGCTGAGACAGATTAGCTGTGGCAGCCATCTTGAGTCAAGTTGTCTCTAAAAGTTCAACAGATGGAGATGTCCATTTAGCGTTTACTTTGAGAGGTTCATTAAAATTCTTCCAGCAATACATAACATTTTGCTAACAGAAAAAGTAAAAGGCACACAGACACAGGCAAAAACACAACTGTCCTCTATTGAAAGGCGTGTGGTAAACAGTAAAATAGTAGCATAAAAACACTATGCTTATACTTTAATCTCTTCCTCCTACAGAGGGAACCTTACCAAGCAATGGCACCAATCGATGTTGTAAAGGGTTATCCTGTAATTGGAGAATATCAGTGACCGTTAGGAGATAAAATGCATAAATAAAATATTAGCTGTAATCCAATATGCAAGATGTTTCTGATGCTTCGTACTGTATCTGCAGGCAGCAGTCTGATGGCGGCAGGGCTCTGGTGGGGGGTGTTACCAGAGGATGCTGCCGTGGGCAGAGCTGACAGACTGGTCTGAGATGAACTGGTGGTGTTGGGCAAACTGTCCCCAAGTCCTCTGTCTTCATCTTCAAAGGAAGGAGCAGCCTTGGTCATCCCCGGCTGAGTCTCTTGCAGCAGAGGCCGGGACTCGGGGCGCGACTCCTCACCCTCCACGCCAGCGTTTTTAATGTTCTGCCTCTCCTCTGCCGTGGCTCTGCTCTCATCCTAACCAGGAGAGAGGTAGAAGAGGAAACTAGTAACATACTGTCCCAGATAATGGCACCTCAAAAACGGACTAAAAAACCCCCCAAACATTCCAACTTACGATAGGAATCTTCACAATTTCACTGAAGTCACAGCGGCTATTTGACCCTGTTAAAAAAAAACAACAACAAGAAAATGGCTCTAGAAATGCATGAAATCAGCAAAATTATGTTCTGAGGCTACAATAAGTGATGTCAACTCACATGGGATCTCACATGTATGCTGCTTGATGATGAACCACCACACAGCCAATATGATGATGATGACTATAGTCAAGATAATCAGGAACACCAACACAGGGATCACTAGAAACACAGAGAAAAAGCATGATTTAATTTAAAATAACAACATTTTTAATGTTGACCTAAAAGGTTGTGGGAAATTTACCAAAGTTTATTGGAGAAGCAGAGGTTGGCATGGGATGGGGTGTTGTGGTTTCTGTAGGAGATGGGTCCCATTTTCGGCACACTGTGTTGGAAAAGGGGGTGCACTTCTTCACCTCTTGCTCACCTGGTTTACATCTATCGGATTACAGAAAAAACATTAGGAAACACTAATGCATATAAAAACATCAATTATGGTACAAATGTGGGATTCTTCTCATTCTGTTTAACACATTTTTAAGTAGCTTAAACAAAAGACCCCAAAAGTCCAGGCTGTAATCAGTCAGTAATATAAACAATAGCTGCACAAACAAGTTTGGATTGGTGGAAGAAAGCTCTTCTGTTGTCTTTGTCCCGTCTGCGAGCGGAGCGGAAGAGAATGCAGCTGTAAATCATCAAACGACACTCACTTTGCACAGCGTTTGCAGACTTCACAGGCCTGATCTGGAACACAGAAGGTACTCGGTCTGCACTGGCACCTGGTATCTGTAGTCCTGGTGCAGGGTGCAGTTTCAGTCTCATCTGTGGGGAGTGAACAAAAATAATGAGAAGGCAACAGATATAAAATCAGCTTGACATGCAACGTTTAGGACATTTAGGTGCAAGGAGATCACCACAGACCTGTTATTGTCACAGTGTAGTACATAAGAACATTACGATGAACTTTTTGCAAACTATGCGCTTTTTTCCCCCAAAAAATTTGACAAATGACATATTTCAGGTTCCCATTTTTGCCTCAATTTAAACAGGAAAAAGAAAAGAGAAACTGCCACAGTTAGTTTGAAACACTAAAATAAAGTAAAATTGTAGGCCTGTCACGATAAAATTTTCTGGGCGATTAATTGTCTCAGAAATTATTGCAATAAACGATTATATTGTTTGAAATTTAACAATAATTAATTGTCAAATTTTAGAAGTCATGTTGATTGGTTTGGAGTGTAGTACCTTTTTTGACCACCGGATGGCAGTATAAGACAGTTTGAATCAAAGGATGGATAGCTGAGCAGCGTGTCTCTAAGAAAAATGGGAGGGAGGGCCCTTGACGTGACATGGTGACATGGTGGACGCTGGTGTGTTTTGAGCTCTTTAGCATAGCATTTTTCACATAAAGCTTTAAACTAAAAAAAATCAGTAAACAAGTTCTCAGCTTCTTTTTGCAGAGAAAAACAATGTTTTACACAAAGGCATGAGTTTCAACCGTGAATTTTTGAGCTTTGACAAGATGGAGGTTTAGCTTAGCTCGTAGCTTAGCTTCTCAGCTTAGCTGCTTTTGATGATCCAAAAATGCGATTTTGGACGGTTAAACAGATTTTAAAGAGAAAAGAGAAAGGAGGGGTCAGTGAAGAACACTGGAGTTGAGTCGTGTCTTCAGCAGAAAGAGAGAGACACGAAGAAATGAAAGACGATAAATGAAAATGAGGTAGATAATTTTCATTCATCATGCGATTAATTGATTCATCGTTTATCGCGACAGGCCTACAAAATTGAATATAAAATATAATTAATACAACTGATTTATCAGATGTGACCCAAATAAAGAAAGATCAGTTCAACATGACAATTTTATGTGTTATTTTAAAAAGAAAATGTTAGCATTTGCGCTAAATGTGGAAAAATAAAAGTTTTGCTTCACAAAATTAAGCTAAATTTAGAACATTTTACTAAGAATCAGGCGTGAGCCTAACTAATGTTTCAAGGAAAGTGTTAAGTCACGGTGTCAAAACTACTGTGGAAGGTTTTCCATACCATTCCCATGTTTTAAAAGTTTTAATAAAATAACAGGCAAAGTAGTTTTTTTGTTTTTGGCTTTGTTTCACTCAGAACAAAACACTTATTTTGGTTTTTATTTGGAACAATATATTGAACAAAACATTGTGTGCGAGTTGAATTAAATTGTTTAAACCTATAAGATTGCGTGTCTTCTTTACTTTAGTAGGTGCTGTAGCTCATTCTAAACCACAAAGACAGGACAGCTTATATTCAAACTGAAAACACAACTTGAGTTTTGTCACACAGTAACAACTGTTACTCATCCCAAAACAACAGCTTTCATTGTTTTTACTGAATGATATATAATACTTTAAATGCAATTACCCTGCTCCAAATCACAGAACAATTTGGTTTCTGTTTCACTTGTTTCTAAAGGCAAGACCCTGAAAGGACTGAGGGGAAATTTTATTTGCAACATGTCTGTTAAATGCTGAGCCTTGAAGCACATGAGCACCCCGGACAAAAGTACAAGACGGATGTTTTAAGAGCTACTACCGAACTGGTAAAATTCATCAAAAGAAAACCTAATTAATTTTTTTTTGTTAATATTTATGCCCATGTAAGTGAGCATTCGTTTGTCTTTAGGCAAACTACCTTGTGAATCGCTGGACTAATTTGAATAAAACTAACAAAGTAATCACTGGAAGCATATCTAGAACTGAGTCATAAATAATTTAAAATCATGAGTGGGAGAATTGAGAAATACAAGTATAATGCCATTTCAATAAAATTGTTGTGTGCTCGATGCATAGCATGGGCTCTGGAACTAATCTCCTCAAGAGGGGCTGGACCTTATTCCACTCTGGACTTGTCCATGGTGAGAGGTGCCTGGCTTGAGTGGCTTTATTTATAGCTTCCTGTACATTGGAGTTTTCCCTGCTAGATGAGCAGGTAGCTTCCCTAAGCTTTGAGTGGGGGACGGGATCAGACAGTTTGTGCCCATGTGTCGAACAGCAGTCCTGAGTACCCAGCACTCTTTGAGTCTAGGGATGCACAATAATTCGATATCGATATATATATCACAATACAATTTTATTCAATAATGGTGATGTGAGTTTTAAGCACATTTTCGATATTTCAATTTAGATTACGCTATGATTACAGCGTTTCACTGACATTTCTTTTTCTGTTCAAGTTGAAGCAGTCACTTCAACTGGCAGCCATTTCATCTCGAAGAGAAAAAGCTACTACACAACTACGTAAGTGCGTGGTGACGTGCACCACACACAGAGCTCGAGTCCAGAAGAAGTCAGTGGTAGCAGGCTAGGCTCCAACGCATGGTACATTTTCACTTCAAAATGAGTGCCCATGACCATTAGAATGTGACTGAACAAGCTTTCACAAGCCAAGAGAAAGCAGATGACATAACTGATAAGAGAGGAAAGACTAATTTGGCGGTGTGGAAGTGGTTTGGCTTTCTAAGATCCGATAAACTGCAGATTTCAGTGTGCTGCAAAATGTGTCGGACAGTCGTTCCAACCAGCGGTGGGAACTAGGCTTGTCACGATAACAAATGTTGCTGGACAATTGTCTCAGAAATTATTGTGATAAACGATAATATTGTTTGAAATTTAACAATAATTGTCAAATTTTAGAATAAATGTTGATTTGTTTGGAGTGTAGTACCTTTTCTGACCACCTGATGGCAGTATAAGACTGTTTGAGCCAAAGTATGGATAGTTGAGCAGCGTGTCTCTTTAAGAAAAATGGGAGGGAGGGCCCTTGACGTGACATAGGGCTGACATGGTGACATGGCGTACGCTCGGTGATTTGAGCTCTTTAGCATAACATTTTTCACACAAAGCTTTTAATATTATTTTTTTTAAAAATCAGTAAACAAGTTCTCAGCTTCTTTTTGCAGAGAAAAACTACTTTTTACACGAAGGCACGAGTTTAAACCGTGAATTTTGGAGCTTTGACAAGATGGAGGTTTATGTCACGATCCTCGAGGTTGGAACCCAAATGCAGGAAGGCGAGGCGAGGCAGGAGTTCAAAATAAAAATAATTTATTTTTAAATGACAAAACAAAAGGCTGTCGGTGCAGCAAAACCTTACTTTGGCAGACAGGATCAGGAACTAGGCAGAGCAGATCATCAGATGGACAAAAAACTGACAGGACAGAGGAGGACTGAGACATCTGTGAACACAGAACAATCACCGGACAAGGAGTGAAGGAGAGAAAGGCTTTTTATGAGACAGAGGGAGAGTGAGTAATGAGAGGACCTGGGCAGGTGGCTGATGAGGGACAGGTGCGAATGATAAAGACTGAGTGGAGAGGCAGACTGAGGATTGAGTGGAAAATAACAGAATCAGATAAACAGAAAATCACACACAGAGCAGAACAACAAAAATATAAAGAGCAGACAGAGACAGAACCTTGAAATGGAAGGAAATGATTTAGTTTGTGGGATGATAGTTTGAAGATATTAATGTTGGTTCCTGGTTGCAGCTTGAAGGAGAAGGCAGAGGCTTAGACAGATGGGGGGGCAGCGGGGGCCGCTGACCGTGACAGTTGGTTCCTGGTTGCAGCTTGAAGGAGAAAGCAGAGGCTTAGGCAGATGGGGGGGCAGCGGGGGCCGCTGACCGTGACAGTTTATTCCCGAGGTCAGCCTGTTAGCTTAGCTCGTAGCTTAGCTTCTCAGCTTAGCTGCTTTTACCGATCCAAAAACGCGATTTTGGATGGTTAAAACAGATTTTAAAGAGAAAAGAGAAAGGGAGGGTCAGTGAAAAGCACCGGAGTTGAGCTTTTTGTCATCCAGTGTCTTCATTAGAAAGAGAGAGACACGAAGAAACTATAAAGGCTGATTTAATACAACACATATTTAATATTAACATTATACATTTATGAAACATACCATATTTATTAATATTAATTAAAATATCTCATTCTATAAATTGATCAAATTTCCTAGACAATGTTATAATTCCATTTATGAATAAGAAAAGTATGTACTCAATCTCTGCCGATCTTCAATTTACGCCATTCGTATTTCTGTTAAAATCATACATCATGGTTAAAATGATCTGCAGCGTCACCACTGAGCGGCGTTGTTCCACCATGGAAATAATTCATTCTGCATGTTGCAGGGTTTACTCATTCAGCCCAGGCTGGGGGTCAGGTCTAAAGCAGCCTGTCCAATTGAAGTGAGCCATCTTGATCATTTGGTGCTGATGGTGAAAAGTGTCCCTGATATAAATAACTTTTATACCTCAGTACTTTTAAGGCAAGTGTCAATTCATTCAAGCTCATTACAAAATGCTAATATTGGTTTATAAATCATTAAGAAATTACCAGTAATTTAAGTGCTTTATTTCAGTGCTGATGAAGAGCTGAGTAAATAAAAACAACCATTAGATGGAAGGCTATGATTGTCAATCAGCTGATCGTATAATTCAGCATCTGACCACCAGATATACTGTGGTGTGGCGTAAATTAGCAACATGAAGATCGGTGGAGATAGAGCACGTACTTTTCTAAGTCAATTAAGACAGTTCTTAGTCATAATAACATTGTCTAGGAAAATTAATCAATTTATAGAAAGAGACAGGGCAGCACGGTGGCGCAACTGGTAGAGCTGCTGCCTCTCAGCGAGCAGGTCCTTGGTTCAAACCCCGGTCCAGGGGCCTTTCTGGGTGGAGTTTGCATGTTCTCTCCGTGCATGCGTGGGTTTTCTCCGGGTGCTCCGGTTTCCTCCCACAGACCAAAAACATGCATGTTAGGCTGATTGGTAACTCTAAATTGTCCCTAGGTGTGAGTGAGAGAGTGAATGTTTGTTTGTCTCGTTTGTCTCTATGTGGCCCTGTGATGGACTTGCGACCCGGGTCGTCCAGGGTGTACCCCGCCCCTCGCACAGTGATTGCTGGACATGGGCACCAGCGACCCCCGTGACCCAAAATGGAATAAGCGGGTAAAGAGAATGGATGGATGGATGGATAGAAAGAGATTTTAATTACTATTAATAAATATGTTATGTTTCATAAATATATTTTATTAATATCAAATATATGTTGTATTAAATCATCTTACAGGATGTAATTTAGCACACCTTTATAATTAAGGCTGGAAGTAATTATTTCCATGACATTTTCCTTAACTAGCATATTCAACAGCGATCCATGCGACCCGGAAGTATTACTTTTAGTGCATGCGCAAATGAGCTGACGGTTCAGATCGTGCAGTGACAGGCTTCAAACTGTGGAATGGACTTCCTGACCTGAGGCGTGTCTCATGAAACCCAGAGTAAATAAGAGCCACCTCACACTCAGGAAATCCATTTCATAGTTTGCAGCCAGTTACAACGTGAGCATTGAGGACTGAGCAGCACTGTGGCTAACAGCTAACCAACTTTTCATCTAAACACGTCCGCTGTGTGGAAGTATTTTACACTAGAAACACCACAAAACAAGACAGCAACGTGCAATGTCTGCAGAGCCGCTAACCGAGAGGAGGAAGCTCCGTCGCAAACTTAATCAAACAGTTGAAAAAGCACCACATTAAAGAGCACGAGGATTGTTTAGCCAGGCGGGAGAAAGACGAAGCCGGCAGAAATCACTTCTGGAGTCGTTCCAACAGCAAGGAAAACTTCTGCTGGACAACGGAAAAGCTAAAGGGATTACCGAGAAGTTGCTGAATTTCATCATACTTGACGACCAACCGCTATCATATAAATCGTTCTTGCCTGTAGAGAGGAGTTTATTATAGCCTCATTTAAAATCAATAATAATGATGATATCAGAACAGTATCAGAATAGTATCTGTATTGACAGATACCTAGATTTAGGTATTGGGATTGGAAAAAAAAAAAAAAAAAAGTGGATCCGTGCATCCCTAATAATATTCATCATCAGACACCTTTGCCTTTGATCCACTGCCATAATGAGCTTGTACTGCTAAATATGGCACAATTACACTAAATGCTATTATTGCACCACGATCGACTATTGTGCATTGACCTCCTTTTAAATGACTAAAAAGTAGAGTATCACGTGGTCAGAAATCACTCCACCCCCACACAAAAGAGAAACTTCTCAGTTTTAAAACTGCAGTAAATGAGTAGAAACACGTCTCACGTAACACGAGTCTCTTTTCTGAAGCTCCTGCCTTTCACTGGACACAAAGACACCCAATGTGGGGGGACAATGGCACACAGCCCCACCCAGCTCAGCCAGGTAAGGCAGATGCACAAGCAAACCTCCAGAGACGAGAAACACGCTCACATTCAGCCCACGAAACAAAAACAACAAAGAGACACCCTGCTGTGCTGTGTAACATCATAAGATCACATTTTCATGAGTAGCCGTGAAAGGCGGGGGCACAAATAAAGACGGATCAACTTTCATAAAACAATATATCCTCGACAGTGTGGACTATCTAACCTAATCTGTGATTATCACATTTTTAAAAGTACTGACCTAAAAAGAGGTTCAGTGAAGTGGTAGATTATTTCTTATCTTTTAAAACATGGGAAAGCTGATGAAACTGTACCCTGGTTTAACCTGACACCATTTACTGTCCATGTCTGAGGACACAAAGTACAAGGTACTTTATTTATTTAGTTTTTGTACTGAACATGTCTTAACTGACTGATAGAATAATTGTCATTTGTTACACAGTTCAATTAATTTTAAGGTATTATTAGTCTTCAAATAAAAACAGTTTAAGTGTTTGGTCAGTTGAAATCAAGGCGTTAATTAAACAGACAAAAGCATTTTTTAATTGCAACTCTAATATTAATGTTGAACAGGAAAAAAAAATGCCCCCGATTTTCTGAACTGATCTCACTTGGACTTTCTGTTTAAGAAAAATATAATCAAATTTAAACTCTTTAAAGTAATGCTTCACTTAAAATGATACGCCTGTGGAGAAAATGTGTTACCTAGGCGACAATGTGTGCAGGGCAAACATCGGTTCATGCCGTTAGAGTGCTCCGTGTACGTTTGTCCATGCTCGCAGAACACACACGTCCCAATTTCTTGGTCTCTTTCGCAGGGTTTCTGCACAAAGGTTCCTGCAGGAAACAAAATCATAATAATTAAAACAATGAAACAAATATACACCACTGGTAAAGCTTATTCATTTATTGTTTTCACTTCATTAAAAGGTAAATCTCGTGTTTTGTGTTGAAGCAAGGGGGTTTAGCATCAAGCACAGCTGTAAACTGATGGGATAACACCAGTTTGAAGCTGAGTGAGCGACGTCTCCATTTCACAGCGACTGGAAGACGATTTATTCAGCTATACAGAGTTCTGACCTACTTGTCTGATTATCACTCTTCTCATTTCAAACATGATCTGAATAAAACCACTTGGTTTTTATGTTTTTGGGATTTACCTTTATATACATGTATATAAAAAAAAAAGATCTCAGTGAGAAGGTTGCCGGATCAAATCCCAGCCCAGGACCTTTCTGGGTGGAGTTTGCATGTTCTCTCCATGTATGTGTGGGTTTTCTCCGTGTACTCCAGTTTCCTCCCACAGACCAAGAACATGCATGTTGGACTGATTGGTAACTCTAAATTGTCTCTAGGTGTGAGTGAGACAGTGAATGGTTGTTTGTCGCTGTGTCCCTGTGATGGACTGGAGACCTGTCCAGGGTGTCCCCCACCTCTCACACAGTGACTGCTAGATGTGGGTTCCAGTGACCCCCCGTGACCCAAAATCCAAGAAGCGGGTAAAGACAATGGATTGATGGGTTGTGGAGATATTACAAAGGAGAAATAAACATCTGCATTTGAACTCAAATTGACAAGTTTGGCTTTATGTTTGCAGAAACAACTAAATAAAAGCACCATCACTCAAGTACGTAGGATGAAGATGAAAGCAAAGTTTCAACAAAGCAACTTTATTCCATCCATTCATCCATCCATCCATTATCTTTTACCCGCTGCTTCCATTTTGGTTTACGGGGGTCGCCGGTGCCCATGTCCAGCAATCACTGTGCGAGGGGCGGGGGACACCCTGGACGGGTCGCAAGTCCATCACAGGGACACAGAGAGACAAACAACCATTCACTCTCTCACTCTCACTTTGGGACAATTTAGAGTTACCAATCAGTCTAACATGCATGTTTTTGGTCTGTGGGAGGAAACTGGAGTACACGGAGAAAACCCACGCATGCACGGAGAGAACATGCAAACTCCACCCAGAAAGACCCCCAGACCGGGATTTGAACCAGGGACCTGCTCACTGAGAGGCAGCAGCTCTACCAGTTGCGCCCCTAACTTTATTCCATTCCCAATATTAAAATAATCTCTAACTAACAACGTCTTTTCAAGAAAAAGAGCAGAAATAAAATCTGCACAATTTGAAGCTAAAAATCACAAAAAAATCTACAGTCATTAAATTCTCAGGAATTGACTCGAATTATTTAATGTATAAAATCAAACTATTGAAACAACAGTTGAGAAAGTTTGAAGATTATATAAAATTACTTGTGAACCAAAAAGCCTGTTTGATGAAATCATCACTTCTTAAAATTAAGAGTAGTAAATATAATAACTAAATAAGCTCACAGCAGAAAACAGTACTTGGTGAGATCATAGTCTACGCTCATGAAAAGAGTGTGGATCTTTATCAATCAATCAATTTTATTTATAAAGCACCCTTCATACTAAAAGCAGCTCAAAGTGCTGTACAGAATTATAAACAACAAACCCACAAAATAAAAGCAAACAAGACACACATAAAATAAAATTGTATGGAAAATGTATAGACTGAACAGAAATGAACCAGTTCAGGAAATACAGTTAAAACGATGGGTCTTGAGCCTGCTCTTAAAAACAACAACTTTCTCTGCGGCCCTCAGGTTCTCCGGCAGACTATTCCACTGACGGGGGCCATAGTACTGGAAAGAAGCCTCACCGTAAGTGTGAGATAATGACATAATGGACATGATTAAATAAATTGGTTTGTGCTTTTAATGACATAGGAGGTAAAAATAAAGTTGACTTCAAACCCAAAACTTTTCACAGTTTTCCCCGAGAATGCTTCTGGCTCCTGGCTGTCCCACATTATTTCCAGATGTGACGACAGAGGACAACACTTCCAAACCAAGGGTTTCTGCACGCTGGAAATTTTTAACTTTTCTACACTCAACATTTAAATGTTGATTGTGTTTGTTTGAATTATTTTACACAGAAAGTTTCTTTCGTCTGCTCCTTTCTGCAGGTGTTGCCACAGCAAGTGAACTCTCATAAAAGATTTAACAATTGCTTTATGCCGCATGCCCTTCCTGACGCATCCTGGGCTCGAACAGGCAACTTCAGGATTAGAAAGCTGCAGCACTTAAACTCTGAGCTACTGCTACCCTTTGACTTATTTTACATGAAAATGGAACTTTATAATGCAACTCACTGTTGTAAAGAGGTGCTGTTTGTGTACTTATGTAAAATTATTGGTCGAGGGATGATTTATTCCCCACAAATATTTTGTAAAACAGGCTGTGCACACTCCCACAATGGCGTTCTCTCTCTCAAGGACCAGGAGTTTGGTCACATGCACAAGATGGACACGTCTGTGCAATAATGATGATGTTCCAAACAAATTACATTTTAGTTACAAATGTCTCGGGAGGTTGGGGGCGTGGTGCAGGAGGTCTGTCAGCCAGAGCAGGATCGGCTGTGGTTCGTTTGCAGTGTCTCTGCTCAGAGTGCAGCGGGGACTGCTGTGATCCGGAGCGCCTGTGAGCTCTTTGGGACGGAGAGGCCTCACAGCTGAGTGGCTGCTCACTCAGGACTGGATCTGTAGAATGATTCGGAGCTTTCACCTGCAGCGTCTCTCTAAGTTGAGAACACGGCTCACACCTGGACTCTGTGCATCAGACAGCATGACCGCTCTGCTCTGATTGGGTAACTGTAGTGTGCTAAGGGCTAGGTTAGCTGCACCTCCACTACAATATATTTAAATAAACGGGTTCTCTCTTTTTCAAGTTAAATTACTGCCATGTGACCGAGGTAACTGTGAGTGGATTGTTTAATCAGTGACATGAGACGTTAATTTCCTTTGACCCATCAGAATAAATGTGGTCATTTATTGAACAGAATCAAAATTTAACATCAAAACATTGTACACTTGATTAGCTGATCTGGTTCTGATTAATAAAACTTGGCACGTTTTACTTAATAAGACAACAGGACTTGAAGAAGGCATCCAGACTATTGGCAAAATAGAAGAGTTTAAAGATGGGAAATGAAGAGTTTAAACACTTAAAGGGGAGGTGTTTTGTTTACCAGAATTAGCACGCTTCTTTCAACACCAGCCCAACTCTCCGGTACACTTGGTGCGTGACGACTTGTTACCTTTGCAGAAGATACATCAACTCCGGTACAGAGGTCCATTTCAACGCTACCTTTCAGCGTCTCCGGTAAGAGTGGCTGGCCATATCAGGAGTCGTGCCTCTTACTCTGTTCAACAAACACGCTCATCTCCAGGGTGGATACACAGCAAGATGTGAGTCCGTCAGAGGTTCTACTCAGATGTGGAAGAATCCATCACAGGCTCCGAAGAATGAGTTCAAGACTAGACTTCATCAGAGACCCACTTGAAGACTCAGGAGACTCGACCGACTGGCTGACAGACTGTTCAGTTCCAGGAAGTGTGGACTCTTAAAGAGTTCTCACTTCCGGTCACTTCAGGACTTCCTGATTGGTTGAAACAACCAACAGGGGGTGGTTCTAGTGATGTCAGAGGGTCATTTCAAGTCAAGAAAACAGCAGGAATGTTTTAGGGACTTTTAGTACAGACAGGAGAAATGTTATGGCGAAGTGAGAGCAAGCAGGTGACAGTAGCTTCTTATTTACCGTCTGCTAGGCTTAAAAACAATCCACTTCGTTCTAATAACTCCTTTCTGACTTTCGACCGACATCACTACTCCTCATTTCAGACAGAAGATCAAAAAATGCATAATTACTTTGTAAATAGACATTTAACTTGATTTCTAATTTAAATGAGGATTGAAAAAATCATTAATACTGTTTCACAGTTGATTTAAAATGAGTGGTTCACTTTAACATTTAGAAATGGTATGAACTAAACACACTTTTGATTTATCAAGATATTGTAAAATAGTAATGATAATATAAAAGAAGAGTGTTCTTTCAATTGATTACTTCAGGATACAATTAGACAGTCTCTGGATGAGCTAATTTGTATTTCTGGATTTAAATCAATGAAATAACAGTTCCTGTCCCATGAGGGTCCTCAGAGGCAGGTTTTGGTCGGAGGCCAAGTTCACTACAATAACACTATGACTGTGGTTGTCCATTTGTAGAAAGCAGTGTCAGTTTAATCCTTGTATCATAATTAGATTGAATGTCTTTAAGAAGACCACAACAAAACACACTTTCACACATTTTCATTTTTACAGATGACAGAAATCTGCACTGGCCACGTTTAAAATGATAGAAATCTTTGTGGCGACGGAGAACTTTAATCCCTAAAAATCTTTCATTTCAAATTTACTTGCTGTGGCAACCTTTGCAAAAGGGAGCAGCTGAAAAAAAAAAAATTTTTTTTGTTGTATTGAAACACAAAGCAAGACTGAGATAAGATTGCTCTAAAAGAACCTGAGATAGAGAAGTGTCTAAGGAATGTAAGACAATCTAAAATCATTATTCAGCTGTTTCTCTGCATGTTAAACTGCTCAAACGTTTAGTTTCAGTTACACACTGCTTTAAAATTTATGGTACCAAAAAAATGTCAACTACAGAAACTGAACAAAAAAAATACTGATTTATGCTTATGTGTGCGTATTGATGCTGTGGAGTCCTCTGTAGCACCTCTAACATGTGGTGCACCTCAGGGATCTATACTTGGCCTCCTTCGGTTTTCCCTTTTTTTCCTCCTTCTGGGATATATTATCCGGAAACATGGCGCTACTTTTCATTTTTATGCTGATGACAGCCAAATTTATGTGCTATTAAATCAAGATAAACAGTATTCTGTGAAAAAACTCCTGGAATGTACTGTATGGCAGAAGTCAGAGCACAGATGTCACATAATTTTTTACATTTTAATGTGGAAAAGACTGAGGTCTTGATGTTTAAGCCCAGTGATGGTTCCAAAATCCGTGCTGAACTGGGTCCTTTAACAAAACATCTGACCGAGATGGCAACTAACCTAGGCGTGAAGCTGGACAATGATTTTAAACTAGATGCACAGATTAAATTAGTGATCAAGTCTAGTTTTTAATCACTTGAGGCAACTGGCCACGGTCAAACCATTTGTCACAACATAATTTTGAGATTTTAATCCATGTGTTTATTATAACTCGTTTAGACTACTGTAATTCACGTTATGCCGTCTGAGCCAGTCATTACTGACTCGACTTCAGCTGGTTCTGAACGCTGCTGCTCGCCTTTTAACTGTTTTAACACTTATATGCGTTTGTGTACAGCACTTTGTCCAACGGTGTTGTTTTTAAAGTGCTTTATAAATAAAGTTGTATTGTACACAGCATTTTCTTATAAACTCTTAAAATTTGACCAGAAAGAGTCAAACAACAGCATCTTCAACATTAAAATGTGTGGAGGCTCTTTAAAAGATAATCCCTCTGGCCAAATTAACTTTATATCCAGGGCTTAATTTGAACCGGATCCTGCCGGAACAAGATATGGGAACTCTCTTATGTTGTCAGGGTGCGTTCCGACAACTGTTTGCTTGTATATGGCAACCCTCAGACTCACTAATAATGAAGTTAGGAACAAATATGACTGCCTTGTTGGTTTAAGAGCCATGCTTGAACCATGTCGCTCCCCTCTGCTGCTGAGACGATAAATAAATAACTCAGACACCTCCGCTGATGTTTTTATGACGCTCTGGACGCTTGTCACTCACAGCACATATGAAACAAAGAGTAAACTCAAGCGAGAGTGATACCTGCCCCCTTTTCCTCGTTCGCATTGACAAACTGTTTTAGTTTTATCAATGAGTTTGTCAAAGCGCAATTTTGATTAGGTTTTTTTTTTTTTGTAAATACAGAAGTAATGTTTAATAAATGTTAGGATTCTATTCTTTGCTAACAAAATGTGTTTTATGTTATTGAACAACTTGTCAGGTTCTTGCCTTGTGAGCATGTATGTTCCCCAGGACCCCCCCCCCGACCATCTGCCATTTGCATTCCGGCATCGATCAGTGTACAAATTAAGCCCTGGTTACAACCACTAATATTTAATTAGATACAATTTCTAGCCAATATCTGATTTTAGACCTTTCACAATGTTGGTTCAAGCTTTAAGTTGTAGTTAAAGTAGTGGACTTGTTTGAAATGTGTAGTTTAACTTAACCGTCCAGATGACCTGACCTGACTGAACATTGTTGAATTTTATACCTGGATTCAAAAAGCGTTCAATACAAAAACAACTGGACTTTATTTGTAACAGAAGACGTTTCGCTCCTCATCCGAGGAGCTTTCTCAATTCAAAGAGCAGAGAGTGAGAGATTCAGGTTATAAGGCTGAGTGAGATAAGACACACACACACACATATATGTATATTGGCAGTTCACACCTAAAACCTAAAACAGTAGGTCTTTATACCTGGATTATTGAGCATGAACTTTGTTGTGTAGCTTTAGTGTTTTTAGTTGAGAAAAGTTTGTAAAGTGTGAGGCTCATTGATATTCTTACCAGCCTGGCAGTTGAGGCAGCAGAGCCCCTGGTGGTGGTACTGCTCATTCTCGACACAGGTCCGATGGAGTCGGGAAAGGGTGATGTTTTGGTTATCCTCGCCGGACCACTGAGACGCGGGCCCTTCGGCTGTGTGACAAACAGGCCCGAAGAAGAGCGCTGTCACAAACACCTGCATCGTCAAGGTCATGGAGACAACAAAAGAGGAAAACAACATGAGCTTACATTTTTTTCCCTCGTGTTTACAAAATAAAGAATTACCCCGTGAAACCGGTGAAATGAAGGACAATAAGGAAGGGAGCACATCTTCATAGGGAACCTTGTGTGAGCAATCTGACTTAATGTGAACCATCTGATCTGAACATCTGCTGTGGGGAAGCAATTAAAGAAGCCACGCAGTCTCTCACAACTAAAGCAACACGATAGTGTGTGTGCAGAACATGAAGATATACAATAACATACACACAGTGTGCAACCAAATTTAATTATACTCTATGATCGAGTTTTCCTCAGTGAGAGTCTGCTTTCTTCTGTTATTGGGGTAACACACAAGTTTGATACGACTAACTTGCAGCTTGGTGCTCGTATCAGATGTGAGAACCCCCCCCACCCCCCAAAAAAACAAAACAAAACAAAAAAATCCCACCATTCATGTGATAGATAATAACAGGTTTGTGTAGGTGGGGTATAGAGAAGAATACAACCGAACACTTTAGTGTGACCCCCAGGCGATTGTGTTTATTCACACGCTTTTCACCATGTCAATGTGAGAAGGCCCCATTCACTGGCAAACAACACACTTTAGTGCCTCTACTTCAAATGACCCACATTCTTTAACCCGGGCTCTTTGAATGCCACGACATACGAAACCAGCACGAAGCATCTACAACGCAACAGGATACCTCCCTGGATAAATGAGCGCACTAGATTAGGAGGTTTCGCCTCTCCTGTGCACCAGCAACCCCCCTGACAACATCCACTAAAACATTTAGAGAAAGTAGGGCCAGGTTAAGAAAAAAAAAGAAGAGGGAAACAGGAGACAACAAGCTGAAGATGAGAGGGAAGTATAAAAACAGAGTGTGGGAGAATGAGAGGAATAAAGAGTCAGAAGGAGAGACATGCTGATGAAGAGACTCCTGACACCAAACAAGACTCTCTGGAGGGACGCCATGCCTTGTTGTTTAAAAGAACATTCCCTCTTTTCACTCTTCCTCTGCCTTTTCCCTTCTTCATCTCCTGCTAACGTCAGACTTTCCAAAGACTCAGAGGGAGACGACTGGTGGAGCAGTCACAATCACACCATTTAGATCAATCCAAACATTCTGGGAAGGGGCAGGCAGAGGAGAGGAGGAAAGGGGAGGTAGATCAAATGAGAGGAGACTAACAGCTTGAACGACACAGAGTGAGCTTTAACTTGAATACTCCATGTGTGCGGCTGGATGGGGGGGGGGGGTGGTTAATGGGCATTGAGCTAGGAAAGTAAAAAGTTGTGTGAATAGAAGATAAATTTTAGTGTCTAAGTAAATGTGCATGGCAAAGCAGTGAAAATAAAAGGACAACAGGAGAAAATGTAGAACTGAAAAAGTGACTCCTACTGCACATAGCTTTAGAAACATCTGTAAATGTATGGCCATTCCAAAAGGCAAAAGTTAGGGTGTTTAATAGTGTAAGGTTCACAAAAATTGTATAATGTGAGCTTTGTTCAGACACACTCAGCTGCAGTCCTCCACAGACTCAGAATATGCAAAAGCAAACAAAAACGTGAACTATGGTAAGTTGCTTTTAAGTTTTTGTGTACTGTATTTTGTGACTTCTGTTTAGGGTTGGGAGGTAAAATCTATTTTATGATGCAAGGCTATGGAAACATGGAAGAATCTTAATCAATTTTCAAATGTCAAAAAATTATTCTGTTGCGCTGTGTCATCATAGTGGTTTCCATGCAGTCCTGTTGGTTTTTGTAATAGAAACATGTTGAAGTAGATCTGCTAGTTTTCACAGCTTTATCCATTCTTTGCTGAACGCTGAAGGATTTGAATCTGTAAACAATAACACGACTAGAGCTTGACCGAAATATCGGTATGGTTGATATTTTAGGCGATAGCTGTTTGGGGACATATCAGTATTGGTGATAATTGTCTCCTTATCAGAATCCGAAAGCCTTTATTGTCATTATACGCAAGTACAATGAAATTAAGAAATTATGCACAGACAAACACTTTAATTTTCACAAAGAGCCATATCCTTACTTGCACATGTAATTGTACAATGTATCCAGCAAAGGGCACATGCAGATTACTTTCAAGCACAATTGACTCATTGCACAGCTGAGAGGAGACCCAAGAAGAAGAGAGCAACTAAATACAGTATTGCATACTTCGCTGAGCAGAGCATGGTGTTTACTGTAAATAATCTGTAAAATAAAATTAAAAAATCAACTACAATAAATTCTCTTCAATCCTCCAACCCGCTTGGCATTAGCTACGTGCCTCTCAAGCTAGCAAGCTAATAGATAACCTAGCATGGACTTGTCTTGTAAAACTTTATCCAGAACAATAAATCTAACGTAGCAATAAATATATTAAAGTGTTAGTAACATTATCTTTCTTGTCCTCAATGAAATGCATTGTTTGTCTGAAATCTTTACTTCTCTGCAAAAAAAAAAAAAAAAAAAAAAAAAAAAAAAAACTCAATACTAATTAGATCTTCCCCATACGTGACTGAAATGAACATGGAAGGGCATTTTTTTATTTTATATTTTTGTAACAAACTTGTTAACTTTATGGTGAATAAAGGAGACTGTTTTTATGACGAGTGCACTGCTTGTTAATCTACTGTGGGACTACGTATAGCATGGATCGGATTTGCTTAGCTTCATGGTTGCTAAATAAAAAAGTCCCGTCCCACTTGCTGTTTACTTAAGATTCTTGGGTGTGGACGCAGCTCAGAAGTTTCCAGTCCTTATATCGGTTATCGGCATTAACCTCTCCCTTTCCATATCGGTTTCGGTGATAGCCAAAATGTCCATATCGGTCGGGCTCTACTAAAAATGTGTAAAAGTAATAAACAGTTTGCCCATCTAGAACAAAGAAAGACAAAATAATTCATTCAAAACAAATTTTACATTTTCAAAAGCCAAACCTTAGTTAGAAAATGTTTCTGATTCCATTAACTGATCTCTAAAAACAGAAAAATAAGTCAATTATTACAGTAGGAAAGTTGCCATTATCTATTAATTAACCATTTCACTGGGCCAGAAAGTTACACAAGCCCATATAACTGTTAATGTGATGAAGCTCAATCAGTGTTAGACATTTTATTTACAATATGTATACATTCTGAACTGGTCAATGTCATTTGTTAATCACAGCCTGCACTTGCAAAAGAAATGCAACTACATGTCCATTTTGATAACACAAAACCGATATACTCCTCCTAAAATACAATGTCATAAAACCACTGCGTACGTTAACATTTTGGTTGCTGTAAAGTGGCTTACTTTTACCTCTTTAAACAATGAGGAGGAAGACCAGAGTGACCAAAACCTCAGTGAGGAAAACGTTTCAAACCCCAACCCCTGGAAATCCTCCAACAGGAGCTGAAGTGTACAATGAGTGAGTTCTGCTGCAGATCACTTCATACAACAGAGTCCTTTTGTCCAACAGCCTGTCTATATGATAAGTTTGTGCAATGCTTTTGTGGCTGCAAGTTAAACTAATAAACGCTAGAATCAAATAATGAGGGACTTTCTGTGCATTTGACAACAGTAGCACTCCTCCACTTCCTCTGAACACTCTGGGTTCTTCCAAATTGCCTTGGCACAATCTCTACAAATACCACGTACACTGAGAATACACTTGTGAGTGAATGACAGGACAAATTTTCAGACGACCCAAGCCATCAATGGGCCATTTACAGGGCTGTGATCACTCCATGTCCACCAGTTGTAAAAAATTTCCAAGGGAGATTCTTCATTTCCTAGTGAATGGATTATTTTAACCTTAGCAGACTTATAATGCTGATTATCAATCGTCTATATCCAGACCTCCCTCTGCTCTCCATGCTCGTCCTATTAAATCATTTGCTTTTACCAATTTGGCACCTATCATGCAACGGTTCTGATGCTGTAAAACACAAGAGTTATAGTTTAGGAATTTACAGTAATTCACATTATTCCCACAAGATATTTGGTTTTTACATCCCTCACCCCCCTCCCAGTCAGAAAAAAATGAAATAGTCAAATGAGATATATGAATTATGCTTTGAATGAATCTCAGCTATGAACTTATTAACTTATTTAATTTCCCTCTGGGATTAATAAAGTATTTTTTTATTGAACACATTTTATAAGACTATAAATCTTTGCAATCTCTGAGACAACAGAACACTTCTCTTGCATTAAACACAGGAGAAGTGCAGCTTCTTTTTAACTGCCCTGAAGACGTTTCGGTGTTCGAGCACATGACAGCAGGAGGACTGAAGCCCATGTTTTAACCACGGCCGCAGAGTAGTAACAGTTCAGAAATGAGTAAACAAAAAAAAGGTTTATTTCAGTTCAAATGTCAGTTGTATACGTCTCCCTGACCTTACCTGCGCTCAACACGTCTGCCTCCAACAACCACAACAAAGTGTGTATACAACGCAGCCGCCGGCTGCAACTTACAGTCATGTAGCCATCAAAACGTCAACAATCAAAGGTTGGGGTTGTTACATCACGAGTTACTCTCCATCTAATTTCACTGAACTTTTCTGACACGTGTTAAACCCGAGTAGATTGAAGGTTACTCCCACATCGTAAGGAGGAATGTACCAATCAAGACAGACTTTCCCCGACCTGTGGCATTTAAGATAAAGTGTCTGCTGAAACAAAGTCTACATCTAATACTTATAATAAAAAAACAGACTTGTAGATTAAATATATATAAATAATTAAAAAAAAAACCTGGTTTATAGAACATTAAAATTATGTTTCAGTTATGTTATTTTTGGTTTCTCAAAAAGCAAATCTAATATATGCCATGTGTTTTCTCCTCACTTCCACTTAGCACAGCAAGCAAAAAATAATGTTTTTTGTGCATACAGCTCAGGATGTTTTTTGATCAAATGAGGTCATCCAGAGTCGTACATTTTGTCACCCATTGTGTATTTTCCTTATCGTGGTCCCATGGAAACTCT